CTTGGCATTTTAATTATGATGTGTCTTGGTGTGGTCCTCTTTGGATTCCTTTTGTTTGGGGTTCTCTGCGCTTCCTGGACTTGGAAGTCTATTTCTTTCACCAGGTAGGGGAAGTTTTCTGTCATTATTTCTTCAAATAGGTTTTCAATATCTTTCTTTCTTCTTCTGGCACCCCTATAATTCGGATGTTGGTACGCTTGAAGTTGTCCCAGAGGCTCCTTACACTATCTTGATATTTTTGGATTCTTTTTTCTTTTTGCTTTTCCGGTTGGGTGTTTTTTACTTCTTCGTATTTCAAATCTTTGACTTGATTCTTGGGATCCTCTTTTCTGCTGTTGGATCTTTGTATATTATTCTTTATTTCAGTCAGTGTATGCTTAATTTCTAGTTGGTCCTTTTTCATATCCTCAAGGATCTCACTAAATTTATCGGTGGTTTATAGAAAATTCTTGAAAAACCTTAAAAGTGTGGTTTTGAACTCTATATCCAGTCGTTTGCTTTCCTCCATTTCTGTCATTTGTGCCCTGTTTCTTTGTCTCCACATTTTTTATGCTTCCCTGTGTTGATAGAGTGGCTTTCTGTGCTAGGTGTCCTATAGGGGCCAGTGGCTCAGCCTCCCCAATTACCTGGGGTCAACACTCTTGGTGCACCCCTTTGTGGGCTGTGTGCACAGGCTTGTTGTAGTTAAGCCTTGATTGTTGTAGGTATCACTGTGAGGAATTGACCTCCAGGCCAATTGGCTGTGAGAACCAGCTGTCTACAGTGGGAGAACTTCTGTGCTGAAGACACCCTTATGGGGCAAGACTTGCTTCAGTGGGGCTTTGGTGCTCACTGAGTCTGCCCCCTGAGTGTGTCCCTTATGGATCTGAGGAGTTGTAATCTGGATGGTCCCAATCTGACCACTGGGTACACAGACTCTTGGATCTCTAAGGAGGTGCTAATTTAGCCTCTGCCTGAGGCTACCCAGCAGGAGCTATGGAGAGATCTGCAGATTCCTCTTCCTTGTTTGGGTTTTGGAGGTGCCCAAATGAGGCCCAGCTTTGAAGCAATGCAAGCTGCTGTGGGGCCTTGGGCCTTCTTTTGGATATTCTGGGACTTTCTGACCCAGCTGCAGTTTGTTAGGTAATTTTAGATCTCAAAGGGCCAGGGCATTCATATGCAAAAGCCTCTGGGCACAGCTTGGGTGGGGCGGGGTCTCAGGGAATCAACATGGCGGAGCAAACAGCTATGGCTGGTCCTCAGCCCTGCCCTAAGAGGCCCCGGGTCTCAGTGTCCCGCGGTAATCTCTGCAAGCACCTCTGAGAGAAAGCTGCCCTCGAGTTCCGCCCGCTGCCAGACAGTCCAGTTTCTCCCCATATGAGTCTGGGTCCCCAGAGACTCACCAGGAACTGGAGTCAGGACCATTGGGAGCTTGTGTCTCCCTCCCGATTGCAAAAGACACCGGTGTCCTCCGTTGCCAGCCCCTTTCCGCGCACTCGAGCCTCCGCACCTCCTCTGAGTCTCATTGTGCTTTTCTCTTTCCTTCTAGTTGTAGAATTTCCACTCAGCCAGCCTTCCTGTGGTTCTGGATGATGTCTGTTTTGTCTTTTAGCTGTATTTTTAAAGTGGTTGTGCGAGGCAGCAATTTCAGGTGTTTACCTATGCCGCCACCTTGGTTTCTCCTTGGTATTTATCTTTCACTGACTGGCTTATTTTGCTTAGCATAATGCTCTTCAGTTCCATCCATGCTGTTGCAAATGGTAATAATTCCTTTTTTACAGCAGCATAGTATTCCATTGTGTAGATGTACCACAGTTTTTAATCCACTCATCTGCTGATGGGCATTTAGGCTGTTTCCAAATCTTAGCTATGGTAAATTGTGCTGCTATGAACATAGGGGTGCATATATCCTTTCTGATTGGTGTTTCTGCTTTCTTGGGATATATTCCTAGAAATGGTATTACTGGGTCAAATGGAAGTTCCATTTTTAATTTTTTTAGGAAATGCCATACTGTTTTCCACAGTGGCTGCACCAGTCTGCATTCCCATCAGCAGTGAAGGAGAGTTCCTTTTTCTCTGCATCCTCTCCAGCACTTGTCATTTGTTGATGATAGCCATTCTGACAGGTGTGAGATGGTACCCCATTGTTGTTTTGATTTGCATCGCTCAGATGATTAGTGACTTTGAGCATGTTTTCATATGTCTCTTGGCCTTCTGTATGTCCTCTTTCGAAAAGTGTCTATTTAGGTGTATTTTTTTTTTATTGGACTGTTTATCTTCCTTTTGTCAGATTTTTAAAATATAAGGAAGAAAAAAAAAGCTGCTATAGTAAACTATCCACATAATAGAGGAAGATAGAGAGTTTTTGCTCCCTTTTTAGTGATTCTTGGGTCTAATGAACATAGCAGAAAGTTTCTTAACATGCTAGTTAACCTATCATTTCCTCTATCTGAAGGACGCTAAGAATTGGTTTGTTAGAGGTAATAATTTGACCTGTAAATTATTCACTATGCTAAAGATTTTTTTTAAGAAGTAATTATAGCCTCTATACTTAAAACTTGAAAAATTCCTAGCTCTGTGCAGAATGGCATATAAGCATATATATGCCTCTCACCTGAATCTCAGGGAGCACATTTTTCTAGGGTAGGGCTTTGCAGTAAATGGGCAATACCAATTCTGATACTTGTACACCTTTCCGTTAAATAATTTATTTGCAAACATTATTCAGGAACCTTTTCTAGGAACTATTTATCCAAACTGCTGTGATGATAACTTTGTCCTAATGAGTCTCAGTCTCTGCTTAGGGAGTAATCGATAAACTACAAATTAATGTTCCATAATTCACATTACAATGCACATGTAATTATTTTGAGATGAGGCAAACCTTATGCATTTAATTTACAGCTGTAATTAAGTAAACTCATTTGATGCTAATTAGGTGAGCCTTAAAGGATCATAGGTTTGTGTATTTAATTATCAAAGTACAATCAACAACCAATTTCTTAAAACTTTCCTGTTTTGAGTTCAACACTGGTCTGTGGCCACGCTATAATTTTTTCTTCTTACATCTTCAATAAATTAAAATGCATTGTGAACTGTGGAGAATCTACTTCATGCGTTAGCCTTTTTTGGTAATTATAATTCTCCAGCTGGAAAAAAAAATGGGCCTAGGAATACAGAAGTTCTATATCTGACAAAACTGTCCATCAGAAAGGGAGAAAGTAAGACATTTCTGGCTAAACAGAGGCTAAAGGAATTCATTGCAAGTAGAGGGACCTGCCCTCTGAGAAATGCTCAAGGGAATTCAGGCTGAAATGAAAGGACAATAGACAGTAACTCAGAACCATTTGAAGAAATAAAGAACTTCAGTAAAGGTAACTACATAGGTAAATATAATAGCCAGTATTAATGTATTTTTTGTTTGTAACTCCTCTTTTTGTCATACATGATTTAAAAGACAAATACATTAAAGAATAATTATATGTTTAATGGGCATACATGTATTAAAATATAATTTGTAACAACAACATAAGAGAGAAGGTGCTGTGGGAGCAGAGGTTTTGAATTCTATTAAGCTAAGTTGGTATCAATTCAAAACTAGATTTTATATACTTAGAATGTTAATTGTAATCCTCAGGGTAACCACTACGAAAATATCTAAGGAATACAGAACTTCTCTCTATTTTGTTAAAATAGATGTAAAAAATAGTTTACCAGAAAATATACTTGATTGCTAGCTTAGGAGTCTTTTAAATTCTACTGACAGTCAGTCACTAAGTATTTATTAAGTACCTAATATAATGGGCTTTCTGCTAGATTTCAATAATTATCCCCATCTCTTCCCACTAACTGTGTAAATGTATAATCAAGAAAATAAGAGTTATCTGATATCTAGTCCAAGACTTCCTAGCCTTGGAATATGCTAGATAAAATGTTCACATTTTCATATTTCCCAGCCACATAATGCTCTAAAGAAAGTCAAAGTTTGTGCTCATCACCTTCCCTGAAAGTGTGAAAGATGTTTCTGTCTCCAGGCCTTTATAACCAAGACACCTGATGTAAGGATTAGAAGGCACCTATGTGGTCCAGTATTTGTTCTCTTCACCCTCCAAGTATTTAGGGTATTGCTATCAATGTCAGAAAATGTGAACCTTACCCTCAGATGCTCAAAATAGAGGCTTTAGGAATTAGCTAACCAGATTATGGGGTTTTTTTTCTCTTTGCTTATCAGCAGCCACTATGGTAAAAATAAAAAGTAATTGCTAATACTTATATATTATAGCTCACATAGAACATTTAGTTATATTATCTGAAATGAAGTTTTTAAAATAGATTTTAATGGGGGTATTAGCACAGTTTGTCAGTACATTAAAAATAGAGACTTTTCTTCTTCTTCTTTTTCATTACTTTGTGTTTTCAAAGAATTAACTAGCTCAGCACAAATTTCTTCCGTCCAGATGTAGCCATTGTCAAAACTTCACATACCTTACAATTAATGACACCAGCCTTGCTGCACTGACTTCAGTGACCTGATCAGTTTGTATATTGCCTCTGGGTCATCTGAGGAAGTATACATAGTATTGTGGTCTATGAATAGGCCTAGACTAGCAGGTGCCATTTACATAGACTTGAATGTATACTCTAAAGCTATACAATGTGATGTTGTTCCTAAATTGAATTACCTCCCATCTTCTAGTCTCATAAACAAAGATACAGATTCTTGTATTGTTTGGTGGAAGAACTATTATTAGTTCAACATAACTGGCAAAGTGTAAGACTTGACCCCTAATGAGCTATTCCTTCTGAGGGTGGGAATTGGTTGGGGGTTTGAGAATTATTTAAAATGCTACTTTTGGGAGGGAAATGGAAGCACCACTTAGGAATCATTACTAGGACCAATTCTAAGAGGAATTACCAGTAATTGGCACAATATTGGATGACAAAGATGACCTGCTCTGGGACAAGTCTTTATCATTTCTTTATAATAGTGTGCCATTCTTCTTAATCTCTGGATAGGCATGAGTATGATCTTTAAATTATTCCTGCAACTTTGTAAAAACTTGATGCTGCAACTTCTATTCATAAAGAATGAGGAGGAGGAATACACCCAAGCTTTAAAAGCAATGCAAAATATTGTACGTGAGTTTTTTTAAGCAGGTAATTAACCATACATTTACACATTTTCATCTACTTTTAAGTGCAAAGAGATTAGCAAACGACTAAAGAAAAGTGTTCTGTTTAAATGGATAAAATGGTTACTCACTGGATTTTATCACTGTATTCCAAGTAGTCAAGTGATCTGTGAATCCAATTCAGTTTCTTGGGCGATAATTAGCACTCACAACTTTTATCTCTGTTTGTCAGGGCACCCATTGAAATTAACTCTATACTTTGGGAAAATTTAAATTTATTGTACAGTATAGAATGCTTAAAAAATCTTTTTCCTTCAGTATAAAACTTTGACATTACCTTGAGGCATTATCATCCCTCCAAACCACTAAACATCAGTGATATTTCAGCCGTGCTTTCTTGTTCTAAAAGTTTTTTCTAATCTGAAAGAGAAAAAAGGAGGCATTGATCCCCCTGATAGTTAATACAACTTTTCCTTTGTAAGCTTCATAAATGTTTGCCACTGCCACCATCAACAATTCAAACAGAAATCTTACTGAAAGTCTACAGTTAGATGTAGTGGTGGCAATAGTTTCTTCTTTAATAACAAAAACATCTTTGTATATCTATTATGAAAATCTTTACTGCTATACTCAGAAGGAAATACATGATTTTAAGAAGGGGTACACTTAGAATACCAATAATGTCTAGTATCCTACTGCTGCAGTGATTAGGACTAAACCATAAAAATGTCAAGAAACGTGTTGATCTTTCGTCTCAGTTTTTTCTATAATCATGATGCATTATCTAATAAATGCCTCTTTCTGTTCTTCCAGTCCTAAGAGCCCCTAGTCCAGCCGTGGGCAAACTACGGCCAGTGTGCCGGATCCGGCCCGTTCGGCTGTTCTATCCAGCCCGCGGAGCCGAAAGAGCGGAGGGTTCTCTTGCTCTCCCCTCCGCTCCTTCACCAGCAGCAGTGTTAACATGGCAACGTCAGGAAACACAGCCGCAGCTCCTTCTTCTGAGTCCAGTTTAAGAACCCATTGTGGCCCTCGAGTCAAAAAGTTTGCCCACCCCTGCTAGTCTCTTTATAAGGAAGGATCACACACCTATAAATATTAGTTGGATTTAAATATAGTGTCCTCATGAGATAAACCCACCTTTGTCACTAGACCCATTTGATTGCCTTGGTTTGGTCCAGTCCGAGTGTTTACTCAAAGTCCCCATATCAGAAAGCAGGATCTGAACCTAGGTTCACTGAGTCATAAAAGTGTCTTTATTTCTGAATGATAGAAAGCAACTTGCTTGAAGGCAACAATCAAATCATATTTTCATTATTTCTACAGGATGTCTTCAGTAGAGTTAAATCTGGAAAGGTTTTTTTAGGGTAATTTGTGCAAGATTGAATTTATTCACTGGTGAAACAGCACACTACCCTCTGATTTTCAAGCAGGTGTATGATTTCCTTTCACACAAGCATTTATAAACTAGATTTAATCCTAATAACTCTAAAAAGCTAGATGAAAGAGGGTGGATGAATTAACCAAAAAAACGTATATACATAATACAGAGACGGAGACAACAGAGTGGTGAAAGCCAGAGGGAAAGGGGTTTCGGGGATAAGGTGGAGGGGACGAGTGGGGACAGAAAGAGACTTTGCTTAGGGCAATGGGCGCATGGTACAGTGCGCAGATGAGGTTTTATTGAGTTGTACATTTGAAATCTGTATGGTTTTGCAAACCAATGTAACCCCAGTAAAAAGTTTTTTTAAAAAAGTAGGATTATTGACAATTAGAATCTTTAGTTTACTAAACTAACCTAGAGAAGTATAGTATAGTTATACAACAGTTCTTCAAGATTATTTTGAAAATATATGTGAGTTATACTCTGCTGGATGAGACAGAGACCAGTCTTAAGGAATTTAAAATCCAGTAGGAATATTCAGTAATAATACCTGTTTATCGAGCACCTGCCATGTAGTAGGTACAACTAAGAGATGGGAATAAAGTTAAGTCATGATTCCTACCCACAAGGAGTTTGTTGTTTAGTAGAGAAAATCCTTGCACATAAATAATTATAAGTATGATAAGTATTTTCTTAGAGGTGTGTGAAGGTTATAAATGATGGCATACAAGAGGAACTAATCAGTTATGCTTCTAACAGAACCCCGAGAGGTCAGGAACTACATCCAAGAAGACAAGACTTACCTGGGACTTGGTAACTTAATAGTGAAAAACAATCTGAGCAGTAAACTTGGTATGTACACAGGCATGAAAAACCTTGAAAAATTATTAGTGTGACAAGAGAACAGTTACAGGTCAGGAAATGGCAAAAGATGAGGTTTGAACAGCAGGCTGGATTCATGCCCTGGAGTTAAAACTTCAATAGAGAACCATCCAAGGATTTTAACAGAATAACATAATTAGATTTGTATTCATGAAAATCACTCTATTCATTCAATAAATATTTACTGAGCACCTATAATGAGCCAAGCATTTTGTCTGGGTGGTAGAGATCATCAGACAAATTGCCTTTCCCATAGCCCCTTACCTAAGTAGCCATGTTTTGTGCCATGAGCCCTAGCTCTTTTCCTTGCGTAACCAATTGGATCAAAGATAGGAACTCAACAGGGTTAGATAGTCCCTGGATGGCCAGTGACCTATGAGCTAAGCCAGCAGAGGAAACCAGTTTTTATAGATATGAGAATGGAGCAAATGCATAGAACGAAACAGAGAACAGGTTGAAATGAGCTGCTTTGTATAAGATTAAAGTGATATGCTTCATTTAGTGAACCTATTAAAGATATCAGGTGCCTCTTAAAGAATAAATGTATACCAAACAAAGGGGAAATAAGGTTTTAGAGCAGTAATGACATCTTTCATTGTTTTCTTGGTCACTTTTCTATGAAAAATATTTTCATATTCAAAGCAAACACTCATTTATTCTCTTACCTGTGTACATTCAACACTGAAGACTTTAACTGGCATTTACTTGAAACATTTGTGGAAAATTAGAAGAAAACATGAACAAACTAAAAGACATTATTGCAAATGAGAATAGTGCTCAAGGTCAAAACCATGCCTTCAGAAGCAGCAGTTTTAAGTGAGACATGAATTCCTGTTTCCAAAAGTTTCATTTTAAGGTTAATAATACTCATGTGCATGTATTCATTAAATGCTTACTCTGTGCCAATTTTGCTCTAAGTGCTTTAAGTGCATTAACTGATTTAATGCTCACAAAAAACCCTGTGAGATAATTACTATTATTGTCCCTTTTTTACACATAAGAAAATTAAGGCACAGAAGGTTTAACTTGGTTACGAGCAAGTAAACGGAAATTGACTAGTAATTGGAACTATGAACCAAAGCAGTCTGGTCCATATTCTTAATGACAATGTTATACTGCCTCTATTCTCTGTGGGGCATTTATCTACTCAATTTAGTCAAATTTAGTTTATCAGTACAGGGCTTGGGAGGGGAATTTAAATGTCAGTTAACTGCTGTATACTGCTTAATCAAAATCTGTTTTTTTCATGATCACCTTTTTTCAGAAAAACGGTCGCTGGAAATTCCAACATTGCTGGAATGGCAGCTTTGGAATCACATTTTACTTCTTTTCTCATTCTTTTTGTTCCAAAGTCCTACTTTGCCACGGGACTCTGGGCAGTTGACAGCCTCTGTGAGCTTCGATGTCTTCATTCATAAAATCAGGTCAATAATACCTAATTCATGGGATTGCAGTGAGAATGCATGAGATGAAGTATATAAAACACTTGGTGCAGTACCTGGGCGCACAGTAAGCATTTGAATTTTACTCAAAAATTATAGTTGCATCCCATTGCCTGCCATAGCAAATCCAAACTTTTGTCTGGCTTTCAAAGTCTCCCTAGAGATGGCTGGACCCAACACAAATTGTGTTATTTCTTGCCTTACCTGAAATAATAAACTTTCCTCTTTTTCCATGCCTTCTGGGATATACATCCCTTTCTTTTCCTAGCCTCTTCACTAGCCACAGCTTCAATACCTGGCTTAAGTTCAGTTTTCTCCATGAAACCATTTTCAGTTAATTAAATTCACATTGTTCTTTTCCTTCTTGAACTTCTGTTGCAACTATAAGGAGTATTACCTTGTATGATACTTCACACATTCTTTCACACATGCTAGATTTCTCTTTCTGGCTAGATTCTAAGTTCATTGAGAAGAAGGATCATGTCTTCATATTTCTCCTGTATATTCCCTAAAGGATCTAACAGATTATAAAGAGCTCATGGCGATTATTCAGTGATATTATTATCATTGCCTGATTGAAGAAAATAAGCTCTTAAAAACACCTTATAAATTTTATAGGGCTTTATGTTTGACAGAGTGCTTTCATAATGTTGTTAATACTTATCCAAATAAAAGTCACAGAAAATAGCTAAAGCAGGTGTAATGCTCATTTTCTAAATAGTAAACCTGAGTTTAAGTTAAGAGTGTGACTTACAGAAGGTCTCCTGGTAATTAGCATCATTCACTGCTCTCGCCATCCTTACCATTCAGTCCATTTTCTATAAGACTTCCAGAATAAGCTTTTAAAATTAAAGATGGGATCGTATCACTCCCTGGTTAAAACCTTCCAATGGTACCCTAGCTAGTATTGCTCAGTGGGTAGAGCTGCAGACTGAACTGTCTGGGCTTGATTCCCCGTCAAGGGCACATGCCCAGGTTGTGGGCTCAATCCCCAGTAGGGGGCATGCAGGAGGCAGCCGACCAATGATTCTCTCTCATCATTGATGTTTCTATCTCTCTCTCCCTCTCCATTGCTCTCTGAAATCAATAAAAAATATATTTAAAAACAAAAAAACCTTCTAATGGTTTCACATTTTACTTGGAATGAAATTCTATCAAAACCCACCTCCCCGTCCTTCACCCCCCTTCAACCACACACATACACAGTTGATCTCCTCACATTCACTCTAGAGACCTTCTTAACCTTAAACAGGCTAAGCACCCCAAGCTTGTCGCTAGCCCAGGGCCTCTGCACTTGATACTCTAGCCCTGGGTCTTCACACAGCTGTCCTTGCTATGGAAGTCTCAATTCAAACATCACCACCTCAGTGAGGAAGTAACACCCGTCTAAATTGTTAACTCCTTTCCTCTGTCATACTTCACAATCTCATCCTGTTTCATTTTCATTGTGGCATTTATTATTATCTCAAATTATCTTGTTCAGCTTTTTGTTACTTGTACATTGTCTTTCCTCACTAGAATGTAGGTCCCATGAGAACGGTTTTTTTGTCCTATTCCTATCTGTATTTCAAGTCTCCAATAGAGTGCTTGACACATGATAAGCTCTTAAGTATTTGTTAAATAAGTAGCTGAGCCAAAAGCAGACTAAAATCATGAGTCTTTTGAGTCCTAATCCAGTATACTTGCCACCGTTCCATTTATCCTGCCTTTCATGAAAGCACTTATGCCTTTGGAACTACAATAAGAACTGATGTTCAGAATAATGACATTAACTGTGCTGTAGGATTCTCTATTATCAAAGTAAAATTTCATTCCATTCAATAAACTAAACTAATTAAAGCAGGGATGTCATGGTATATGATTATATTAATACATTTACAAAGATTTCCAACTAAAAAGACTTTCTGCTATTTCTTTAGTTAACCAAAAAATTAAATTAACCCAGAGCTCTTCATTCCCAACAGTCTTTGTTAATTAGGATTGTTCTATAAATCTCTATTATTAGCAGATTTGTCATTTGTTTAACTCCCCTGTTTATTAGGCCAGTCTGAGCAGGGTGTCTTTGCTCACATCCTGGTATGTGTATCCTAGTGAAAAGCAAAGCATTTCCTGGATTCTCATCTTTCCCCTCTTCTTTGACACTGGCATATTTCATGCTATTTGTATAACAACTTCATTTCCTTGTGTCAGTTCCCTGTATAAAGTAGGAATTATATTATTGACTTGGCTATTAAGTAAAATAATTAAATTTAGGATCTATTTAAAATAAAAGCATTAGTACTTTGCAACATTGTTTGTGATAACAGAAGATTGAAAACAACCTAAACAGCCATCAGTAAAGGAACGCTTAAATACAATGAACTATTTATTGGAATGCAGCAATAAAAAATGAGGGCATTCTCTGTTTACCAACATAGATCTCCAAATGATAAAACATGGTCCAATACAACCTGCATATTATGATACTTTCTTTTTTTAAGGAGAACAGTAAGAATGTTTTGCTTGTATATGCATAGAGAAATCCTGAAAGGAGATACAGGAAAGCAATAACCGTGATAACCTAATTGGAAAGTACTAGGACTAGAAACTGGGTGAATGGGAGACAAGAGCTGAGAGGGAGTTTTTATAGCATACCTTTTTATACATTTACTAGAGGCCCGGTGCACGAATTTGTGCATAGGTGTGGTCTCTCCAACTGGCCGGCAAGTGGGGCCAATCGAGGCAGTGGGAGGTTGACTGGCTGGAGGGAGGGGCCGCGGGAGGTTGGCTGTGGGAGCGCACTGACCACCACAGGGAAGCTCCTGAGTTGAGCATCTGCCTCCTGATGGTCAGTGCACATCATAGTGACTGGTTGTTTGGTCGTTCAGTCACTTAGGCTTTTATATATATACTAGAGGCCTGGTACACAAAAATTTGTGCACTTGGGGGGTAGGGGGGAGTCCCTCAGCCCGGCCTGTGCCCTCTTGCAGTCTGGGACTCCTCGGGAGATAACAACCGGGTGGCAGAGGGAAGGCCTAATCCCTAGGTGCAGCCCCTGGTTGGGCTCAGAGCAGGGCTGATTGGGGAGTTGGGGCGCCGCCCCGGGAGGTTGCGATGCCACTCTCAGTCACTCTCAGGGTAGGGCCGATTGGGGGGTGGGGCACCGCCCCCTGTCACACTCAAGGCAGGGTCGATGGGGAGGTTGCAGCGCCACCCCCTGTCACACACGGAGCAGGGCCAATCAGGGGGTTGGGGCGCTGCCCCCTGTCACGCACAGAGCAGGGTCAATCAGGGGGTTGGGGAGCTCCCCCCTGTCATGCACAGAGCAGGGTCGATCAGGGGGTTGGGGAGCTCCCCCCTGTCACTCAAAGAGTAGGGCTGATAGGGGAGTTGGGGCACCGCCCCCTGTCACACACAGAGCAGGGCGGATCAGGGGGTTGGTGCACCGCCCTCACCCACAGAACAGGGCCAATCGGGGTTGGGGCGCCGCCACTGTCACACTCAGGGCAGGGCCAATGGGGAGGTTATGGCTCTACCCCGTCACACACAGAGCAGGGCCCGTGGGGTGGGGGGGTTGGGGCACCACACCCTGTCACACACAGAGCCGCAGGGCGATCAGGTGGTTGGGGAGCTCCCCCCATCAGGCACAGAGCAGGGCCGATCAGGAGGTTGGGGCGCCTTCCCCTGTCACAAACAGAGCAGGGCGGATAGGGAGGTTGTGGCCCCGCCCCCTGTCACACATAGAGTCGCAGGGCGATCAGGGGGTTTGGGCGCTGCCCCCTGTCACGCTGATTCCGGTGCCCGGAGGCCTCGCAGCTCCGCTGATCCCAGTGCTGGGAGGCATATTACCCTTTTACTATATAGAATAGAGGCCTGGTGCATGATGGGGGCCGGCTGGTTTGCCCTGAAGGGTGTCCTGGATCAGGGTGGGGGGCCCCACTGGGGTGCCTGGCCAGCCTGGATGAGGGGATGATGGCTGTTTGCAGCTGGTCACACACCCTTCAGGGTGGGGGTCCCCACTGGGATGCCTGGCCAGTCTGGGTGAGGGGCTGAGGGCTGTTTTCAGGCTGGGACTGAAGCTCCCAACTGCTCCTTTTTTTCTTTTTTCTTTTTTATTCTGGGCCAGCTTTAGCTCTGAGGCTCCAGCTCTTAGGCCTCCGCTCCTGAAAGCAGGTATCTGGTTTGTTTCGGTTCTATAATCGAAACAATGTATAACTCCAGCTCTGAGATCCCAGCTCGCTGAAAGTAGGTTTCTGGGGTTTTGTTTAGCTTCTATATTTGTTAGAATGTTTCTTAAACTGCAAGCTCAGAGGCCGGCAAGGCAGGCGGGGAACATTGCAGTCCATCACTGAAGCAAGCAAGCCTCATGTTCAGTTTAAGCTGCCTGGCTACCGGCCACCATCTTGGCTGGCAGTTAATTTGCATATCACCCTGATTAGCCAATGGGAAGGGTAGCGGTTGTATGCCAATTACCATGTTTCTCTTTTATTAGATAGGATACTACATGTATACATTCTGTATTTACAAGGTTAAATTAAAAATAAATTAGCACAACTAAAAATAATATTTGATTCTAGACTGTACCCCATACAGGTTAAAAAAAATCTATATATATAAAAGCCTAACCGACCATTCAATCGTAGCTATGATGTGCACTGACCACCAGGGGGCAGACGTTCAATGCAGGAGCTGCCAAACTGCGGTGACTTGGCAGCTGCAGTTCTCAGGTGACACATCCTGGAACCAGAGAGGTGGGAGCCCAATTCTGGGTGCATCACCAAGAACCGCCCTCTCGCAATCCGGGACCCCTCAGAGGATGTCAGAGAGCTGGTTTCGGCCCAATCCCCACAGGTCAGGCCGAGGGACCCCACCGGTGCACAAATCTGTGTACCGGGCCTCTATATTTTATATAAAAGACAATTAACAAAATTAGAATGTGGAGTATAGATTAGATACAGTAATAATAGTTAAGTTTTTTAATTTATCAACTATATTATGGTTATCTAAAAGGATATCCTTGCTCTTAGGAAATACACACTGAATTATTAAGGAATCAAATGTATAATATATGCAGCTTATACTCAAATGGCTTGAAAGAATAAATAATAATATATACATATATATGGGAGGAACGATAAAGAAAATGTGGGGAATTGCTAAAAACTGGTAAATTTAGATAAACATTATGGAGTAGTTCTATGGATTATTTTTCTCCACACTTTTCTGGTAGTTTATAATAATCTCCAAATAAAAGGATGATAGAAAACAAGCAAACAAAAACATTAATATTCTGGAAATTACCTCAATATAAGGAATGGCCAAGGTGCAGGAGCCTCTTTAAAGAATCTTAAGAGTTCTGGGTTTTACCCGGTCATGGTTTTCACGTTCTGGTGGAATTTTTGCCATAATTTTTCTGTCTTTTCCATGCCTTGTGGCAGTGGCAGAGGTGGTGACTGCAGTCTACCTTAAGGTTAAAAACACCTGCCTACCAGCCTCTTCATCCTGCTATGTATCCTCTTCAATTATATCTTCCCTACAATTTAGAGGTGACATCAACAAAACAGTAACAAGTAATTAACAATTAATTTCCTAAGGATATTATCATGAGGTTGTGTGTCCACAGTACTAAAATATATAGTTAATTTAGGAGGGATAAGGCTACAGAAACATTCAATCTATCTCTTTGGCACTGAGCAACTGAATTTTTTATTTTATTTTTATTTAGATACTAGGGGCCCAGTGCACAAATTCATGCACGGGAGGGGGGGTCCCTCTGCCCGACCTACACCCTCTCCAATCTGGGAGCCCTCAAGGGATGTCCTACTGACGGCTTAGGCCTGCTCCCCATGGCTCTCTGCTCTCTGCAGACCCGCCTGCTTGACGCCATCACAGGCCCTGATGTCTGCTCTCTGTGGGAGCCTGCTTGCCCTTCGCCACCAGGGCCAGGGGCAAGCAGGACCCTGCTGTCTGCTCTCTGTGGGGGCCTGCGGGGGACTGCTTGCCCCTCGCTGCATGCCAGTGGCAAGCAGCGACCTACTATCTGCTCACTTGCTGTGGGGGACGTTCCCACCCCGCCCCCGGCCGCTTGCATGTGCACCAGCTCAGCGCACCTGGGTGCTGGGGATGTTCCTGCCCCCCCCCCCCCCCGGCCACTCGGCGCCTGCGAATGTAGGCCCGGAGTGGCTGGGGGTGTTCCAGGACCCCGGCTGCTCTGGGCCTACACGCGGGCCTACAGGCTCAGAGCGGCCTGGGTCCTGAGGACACCCATCCCCGGGACCCAGGCTGCTTGGCGCCGGCATGTGTGCAAGTGGCTGCCCCGCCCCTGGCCATTCAGCACCTGCGCATGCAAATTAACCTGCCATCTTTGTTGGGTTAATTTGCATACTCACTCCTGATTGGCTGGTGGACATCACAGAGGGACAGTCAATTTGCAGCTTTCTCTTTTCTTAGGGTAGATCAGTGATGGCGAACCTTTTGAGCTTGGCGTGTCAGCATTTTGAAAAATCCTAACTTAACTCTGGTGCCGTGTCACATACAGAAATTTTTTGATATCTGCAACCATAGTAAAACAAAGATTTCTATTTTTGATATTTATTTTATATATTTAAATGCCATTTAACAAAGAAAAATCAACCAAAAAAATGAGTTCGCGTGTCACTTCTGACACGTGTGTCATAGTTTCGCCATCACTGGTGTAGATTGTCTACTATAATCTACTAACCATCTCTACTATAATGGGCACAGCATTACAGATGTGTGAGGAGTTTTGATTCTAGCCAGTCTGGCCTCTTAAGCCATTAGAAGTGGAGCTTATGTCGTAGTCAAGTGAAAAGTAAATTATTTGTTTGTATAAACTGTCTGGAAAATACTTGAATTTTACTATTTTGTATTTTAAATAAGCTAAATCTCATTCAAACCCTGAATGTCTTATCTAATAAATGACATCAAACAAATCTGAATTGTTAGTGTTTGTTTCCTGTCTGATTGGGGTAGCTCATGATTCATCATGCCCAAACCTTTTTCTTCTCACTTTACAAAAAAGTTTGGTTAGAATTGAGAAACAAGGGCTCTGACTTACCTTAATCTCTTAAGTACTTCATCAAAACTGTCATTTTTCTATAATTAGGACAAAAAGATAATTTTGCTACTTGATCCCACAGCTATTTCAGGCCCATTTACTAGTAATACCTAAGAAGCTAAGTCCTAATGCGAGACCTGGGCCTCATTGACTGACTAATGCCCATTCTTATCAGTGTGTCTTAAGATTTAGTGAGGTACTTCATATGCTTATATAGTAAATTGTCTAGAAGGCTATGGAATAGGTCATGCTCATGAATACTATTTGGTTAATTGTATGAGGTTCTTTTTTGATAGCCCTGTAAACCCACTAACCACATTTCAAAAAAATAAGAATGTACCAAAAATATAATTGAACTTAAATATTATTGAACATTTGCCTAGCTGGCATAGCTCAGTGGTTGAGTATCAACCTATGAACCAGGAGGTCACGATGCGATTTGCGGTCGGGGCACATGCCCACTTTGTGGGCTCGATCCCCAGTGTGGCGTGTGTGGGCAGCAACTAATCCATGATTCTCTCTCATCATTGATATTTCTATCTCTTTTCCCCTCTCCCTTCCTCTCTGAAATCAATAGAAATATATTTTTAAAGTATATTATTGAACATTGTTTAATCCTTTTTTTAATTATTTAGAACACATTTTAGGATCTTGCAAATGTTCATGGTCATTATTTTGAAAGTTCTCATAATATCGCTCTCCAGATACAGAAAAATAGAGAGTGGACTGTGTCTATACTGATTTAGGACATCTCTTTTACATTCTTGATATTCTTATATTAGCTTGTATTAATAAAGGAAGAAAATAATTCTACCTTACGTTTAAGGAAATTGAACTTCATATGATCCATGAAAATAAAGCATCTCAAGGTTCTTCACATACATCCAGGAAAACCCGAGTGGTAACACTGCACTCAGAACTTTCAGTGGTTTAGACCAAGAAGTCATGATTCTAAGAGCAAAGTTTAAAATAATCTCTTTTGGGAATTAGGTTCTATTCAGAAGTAAGGATTAATCCAACCAAAAAGCAATAACTTTTTCAAACAAAGAACTCGAGGAGTTATGTCTAATTGTGGCTTACTTACCATTTATATATAATTATTTTCAAATCTGTAATCCAGTAATTAATTCTTATACTACCTAAAATGTTTTATAGACATGTTATATTATTATGTAATGTAACCCTATTATAAATGGCAATGGTGTTATTAACTTAGCTCATTTTACTTATTTAGTGCTTGTTTGTTCTTAGTTTATAGTTGTTAATTCCCTTTATAGTATGACTTGTACTTGGAAGTAATAAAACTAGATTTCTTTATAAATATTTATGGTACAGACCTTTTCCTAAATCAGACTTAGCCCTTTCCTAATTATTTCAATAAAGTCTGCTTACATCTTTTTTTCCCTGTGTAACAGTATGTCCTGCATGCTCCCTAGAATTTTAATCCTAGGTAACTATGCCTTAACTTCCAATTAATCAAAATCTTGTTAACTGCCATGTAGGTTCTGGTGTTACAGCGTGTGGAAAGTTAGTTACTCAGAGTTTAAGTAGATGCTTCTGGTATGGAGTCTTCTTAGCATCTACAGCCATGTGGTCAAAAGGGACCACTAAGTGAATGAGCCCTTCTTGACTATCAGTCTTTCCAAGAGGATCTTTTTTTGCATTTTCAAATCTATGTTTATCTATTATTGAAAGTATTTATTAGCTGCAGGTACCAGAAGGCAGACAGAACATGGTGTTTGTTTGTTTGTTTGTTTGTGATTTTAAGTTCTTTACTAAGACCTTAAGGTTCTCAAGATCTCCTTTTCCCTTCTCTCTTGATCTTAGGTGAGACTGAAGTTTACAAGTCTTTGACCACATTGTCCCCATAACGGATGCAAATTTGTGATTTCAGAAGTTCCAGCCCCCAATAAAGAGCACTATACAATCTTTTGCAGATGTCCTCTGGGCCAGATTTCATCACAAATAACTTCATTCCATTGTCATGTGCCAAGTTTAAAGTACTGTATTAGGTTACTCTGTAGTCAAATCAACCAAGCCCTGGTCCAGACTGCTGTGAGACAAGAGCCCATTGTGTCCTGGTGGCTCAGTTGGTTGGTTCATTGTCCTATACACCAAAAAGGTTGCGGGTTCGATTTTGGTCAGGGTACAAACCCATGGTGCAGGTTTGATCCCCAGTCAGGGCACATACAGGAAGTAACCAATTGATATTTCTCTCATCTCAATGTTTCTCTTTCCCTCTCTCTCTAAAACCAATAAACATATCCTTGGGTGAGGATTAAAAGAAGAGAGAGAGGGGGAACCCATTGAGTTGTTCTGCCCATACATTCAGTGGCAGCTTTCCCTTTTGCTAGTTGACATATAGTTTAAAGGAAATAGTGACTCCTTACTAAAGCATAACCAGGTTAGGTTATTGTAATAAGCCCCTCAAAAAAATCAGTAACCCTTGACCTTGGCACTAAGTATTATAATAAAATAATAGTTGCATTTCTATTGTGCCGTTGTGATTTTCTGTAAAGAAACACCCAAGAGGAATCATTATTTCTACTTTTAAAATTTATAGCCCTTTACTGTATCCAGGATTTCACTTCCCAGAATGCAGTCAAGCTTGAAGCTTTATTAGAGATCCATGATCCAGTCCTTTTAAACACTTCCTTTAGCTTATCGTTTCTGTTCAAGTATTTGCACTGTCCATAAAGGTACTGTTACCACGTACAGTCGTTCCTCCAAAAATGAACCACCTAGGTATAACTCTGAACAAAAATCCATCTGTATGCTAAAAATTACCCAAAAAGCCCTGCTTACAGATGCCTTTGCACCTTGGTTCCTGAGTGCTCACATACAGCCTGGAGCTCATGTCTCTTTGAAAGATGAATGATGAAGGAGCTTCAGCTCTAATGGGTGAATTTGTATATTGAATATTACAAAGAGAAGTCAGTCTGCCTTTCTCTGGCTCTAATTGCAGAAAGTGAAGTCACCGCTTTTGCTGTCTTGGATCAGGACCAGGAAGAAATTATTGATACCAATGGAGCCGGAGATGCATTTGTTGGAGGTACTGACTCATTTATTTTATACTTATAAGTTAAACATTTCCTTAACCCTTGTCTCTACCAGATAGCCAAGATTTATGAATTTAATAGCTTTTAATTTCTTCTTTTAAATAATTAACGCCTAATGTTCTTTCCATATCTACTATCACTATAAGTATTAAGAAGGTATTTTACTACAGGGAAAATATGTATTTTTGACTTAAATATAATTTACTATTGTGCTATCCCCTATTCATTTTCACAAGATTAATTGTGTCTGTCAGAATATTGCACAAACAAGCTGCATCAAGTACAGTGTGTGGTGTATTCATAGCCCTTTGGGCTTAAATGTTAACACACTGTTGTTCTTTAAGACAAATTGTGATAAATATTAAACAGTATGCTGCTAATAGCTAAGGATTATATTATTTGGTTAACATGTGTTTCTAACACAATAGTTGGATGTTTATCTTATTAGGAAGAGTTAAATTTTTGTCTGGTTCAGGCTTAGCAAGAACTGGGACCATTTATAAGGACCATTTTATTTTTGAAATGAGTACTCAAAAACAAGATCAAGATAATTAGGAGATTCTTGGCTTCATTACTTAGATTGATCTAAAATCTGATTCAAAGGTTCTTTTGATACATCTAAGCTCCTTCTAGTTAAGTGTAGGTAAGCTAGGTTATGGTGTGTGTAAAGCTGTAGATTTTAGAATGATAACCCACAAGAGTCCCTCCTGATCTGTTTACTTCTCATACCATCAAGCATGACAAGGAAAAAAAAAGGCAAATGGAGCTGACCATTGTCCTTCTTCTCTTGGAAAATAATTTGAATCATGGTAAACATTTAAGATTATATGGTGGTTTTAACTCAGTATCGTTCAAAATATGTATGTATGTATGTATGTATGTATGTATTTTAATGGTCTTTTGTAGCACCATAAATATTTCATATTTTCTTCTTTGAAGCTATTCATGCTTAGTCTTAAATGAGCAGTTAACCATTACACTGGTAGCATGCCCCATGCTCTTTTCTTTGCTCTGAAAGGCTTCATCATTGATTAGAGTATTTTGCAGCTATTTTTTTCTATTCCATACTGCTTCAGAGCTGTAACTCCATGCAGGCTAAAAATATCTCATCCAGAATTGGGCCAACTTCTGTAACACATTAAGGAAACACTATTGATTTCCTGGTTAGAAATTGCTTAAAACAGGAATCTTAGTACAGAAACTTTTAAACTTGTCTCCATGTAGTCTTTTTAAGTAAAATATTTAAAACTTTAAGTGTTCTCTATTTTTATATTTAGGGCAAATGATGGTAGCCTAATGGGGCTCTGGGCTATCTGGCTCTGCAACACCAGATTCCCTTCCAGACTCCTGGCTACCTGTAGTGCTTCCACTATTAGGGAGAACAGACTTTTTGAGGGAGAGAGAAGTCATTCTTAGGGTACTGATGTAGAACAGCTAGCTCCCCCCTTGTATTGTGCTTAAGGTGATGCATGGACTGCCTCAGCGAAGCACTTGGGTTCTTTGTTAAGGATTTCCAGCCTCTTTCTTATCTTATTCTACTTGCCTAGCTTCATTATATATTTACTGTCAGGGTACAGTGAGGTAAATAAAGAGGAAAGAGTGCGGAACTTTTTGTAAAGGACCACATAGTGAAAATTTTAGGCTTTGCAAGCCATATACAGGCTGCATTGCATAGTTTTCTTGTTCTATTTGCTTGATTGCTTATTTTCTGTTTTATTTTTTCTTTTTACACTAAAATGTAAAAACCTTCCTTAGCTGTACAAAAACCGGCCACAGGCTGGATTTGGCCTTCAGTCTGTAGTTTGCTAACTCCTTTTAAAGACATGACAGCCTCCTCACTCTATTCACTTTCATCATACCCTGGATCCAAACACTGCATTTCACTACACATTGCTGGAATCAGTACAGACAAAGAAGAAGGCAGGCTGGTACTACTGCTGGTACCTCAATTAGGGAGCCATTTTTCTCCCTTTAACTCTACTCTGATCAGTTCCCATGATAATGAGACCTTGAAAGACTGAGTCATGCAATGAGATGAATATGCTGTCATTCTGGCAATGGAATACTTATGTCAACATGTTCAGCACATTCTATGTAAGTCAAGCTGTATAGTAATAGCAATAGATAAATTTATATAGCATCTATGAGCCAATTCATACCTTAAGCACTTTACATATATTAACTCATGTAATGTTCATAAAAGCTCCTGGCAGTTCATTTTATTGATGAGAAAACTGAGACATATAAGGGTTAGGTAACTTGCCTAAAGTCTCATAGCTAGAAAGTACCAGAATCAGGATTCACACCAGGCATTCTGGCCCCAGATGCAGTGCTCTTACTCGCTGCACTGTATTTCTCAGAACTTTTAGGGAAATCTCATTAGGATAGAGAACCACAGACCAGCCCTACTAACAAAAGCTGGTTTTGCCAGAGAGAAACTTCCTCTCATCTGAATAGATGACTTTATTTATTGAACAGGAGCTTTTGTTATCTGATGGGATTCTCAGGACTGTAGGGTAAGATTGTTGCAAAAAAGAGAGGAGAAAGGATAGGGAATCGAAGGACTGTAGTCCCTGGTGAGTTTGAACCAGGAGCTTTTCCTAAGCAATAGAATTGATTGCACTACAGAGATCCAGAAAGCCAGATCATAAACTTGCTTGGTCAGCATACAAGAAGTTATATGAATCATCTGTTTAGTAGCACCAGGCCAATGCATCCATCTTACAATAAAGGAGGTATTGTTAGTTTAAAATACAGAAAAATTCATTGGCTAAAAACCCCTACTCCCATCTCTACACCAAGGAACTCCTTTTCTGCTAGGATTTGAAATAATCCAGCCGTGGGAGCAAACTCCTCCACCTTGCAAATGAATGGAGGGGCAATGACAAGTTTTACATTTACTGTGTAGTTCCTTTTTCTTTGTTTTCTTGCCTGATTATTAATATACTAGAGGCCCAGTGCATGAAATTCATGCGCAGGTAGGGTCCCTAGGCCTGGCCAGAGATCAGGGCCGATCAGATTCCCTGCCTCCCTGCCTCCTCCTTTCCTCACTCCCTCAGTGCCCTGCCGCCACTGGTTGCCTGCCATGTTCCGTGCCGCCCCCCGGTGGTCAGCACACGTCATAGCAAGCGATCAAACTCCTGGTCTCCTGGTCAAACTCCTGAGGGGACACACTGCATATTAGCCTTTTATATATATAGATCTCCTTTCTGAGTGACACATTCTATCTTTAGATAGTTAATATGTGCTCCTATTACTTTCAATTTTTGCTGGCTTAAGAGTGTTTCTGTCTTTTGTGACTCTGCATAACAATATATCATTCCCAAATTTAACTTCTTGGATAAAGCATCCCCTTACCTACCTTGTGCTAATT